TCCCAACAGCGTTTCTCGCCCCGATGGGTTCTCTTCCCTCTTCTATCAGGTCTGCTAAGATATATTCGAGCCTGATGTTGAGGAGGCTGTGTTGGATTTCTTCTCCGGTCACCGGATGCCGGATTCCTTCACAACTACCTTTGTCGTCTTGATTCCCAAAAGACCCAATCCGAGCTATTGGTCCGACTACAGGCCCATCATCCTGTGTAACGTGATCAATAAACTCATTTCGAAGATTCTTAACGGCCGCCTTTCCCCTCTTCTCCCCTCCCTCATCTCTCCGAACCAGAGTGATTTCGTCAAGGATCGGGTCATTAGTGACAACATACTTCTGGCCCAGGAGATGATCCACGATATCTTCCATGCGGATTGGAAGCCGGCACCGAACCTTGCGCTCAAGCTAGACATGGCTAAGGCGTACGATATGGTGGAGTGGCCGTTTTTTAGGGAGACACTGGCTAGGATGGGATTTCCTGAGTGGTGGATCAGTTTTGTTGAGGCGTGTGTGGAGCACTGCACGTTCTCGGTCCTGGTTAATGGTAACCCCACTGACTTCTTTCCCTCCTCTAGGGGCCTTAGACAGGGTGACCCCCTTTCCCCATCCCTTTTTGTCCTTGCGGCAGACTACCTCTCTCGCTGCCTTGACGGCTTCATCCGCGACTATCCACGGATGACATACAGCACCCGTGGCTATGGTCCTCCCATCTCGCACCTTTCTTATGCGGATGACATCATCATCTTCAACCGGGCAGATGTTGATGGGCTGATCGAGCTTATGCACCTTATGGAGCACTATAGCTTGGTTACGGGCCACCTGATCAGTGTGCAGAAGAGCACCTTCACCCTCTCCTCCTCTAGCGCGGACAGTTGGGCTCCACGGATCCATGAGATCACTAGCTTTGCGCGCGGCGACCTTCCCATTACCTACCTCGGTGCCCCTTTATATAAGGGTCACCTCTCGAGAGCGCTCTTTGTGGACATTAGACAGAGGATGATCGATAGGATCTCTAGTTGGTCGCATAGACACCTCTCTTTCGGTGGTCGGCTTGTACTGATCAAGAGCACCCTTAGCTCTCTTCCGCTTCACTTACTTATGGTCCTCGACGCCCCTAGGTCTACTCTTGACGAGATTGACCAGATTATGGCTCGTTATTTCTGGGGTTACGAGGACGGTTCCGGGAGGGGGAGACGTACCCACTGGGTGGGTTGGGATTCTATTTGCCGGCCTTTCTCTGAGGGAGGCCTTGGCATCCGCCATCTTAGGGATATAGTTACTGCCTTCTCCTACAAGTTGTGGTGGCGCCTCAGGGAAGGAAAGTCGCTTTGGGCCCAGTACCTTCGCGACAAATACTGTCCTAGACGTGCCAACCAGCCTTGTTGGGTGACGGCGGTTAGTCATGATAGCAGACAGTGGCGGCGCCTCACTAGGGTCGGTAGGCGTTCCCAGGATCACATTTTTTAGGTTTTGGGTGAGGGTGAGGTTAGTTTTTGGGATGAGTGGTGGCTAGGTAATAGGCCGTTGTCTAGCGATAGTCAGGTGTCGCATTCCCCCTACCTGCTTGTGAGCGACCTGTGGACGGACAGGTCGTGGGATAGGGGGAAGCTTGATAGAGAGCTGGGCTCCGGGGCGGGTTTTAGTGAGCAGTTATTAGATCAGATCCAGCAGATCCCCATCTCGGGGGATGGTTCGGATGGCATGAGGTGGAGACTTACATCATCGGTTGTGTTTTCTACTACCTCGGCTTGGGAGCAGATCAGGCTGAGAGATCGGCCTAATCGCCTCTTCGGAGCCATCTGGAGCGATCTCTTTCCCCCTACTATTTCGGTTTTCCTTTGACGCCTCATTCTGCGCCGGATACCCGTGGACATTGTTTTACATGCGAGGGGGTTCTCCTTCCCCTCACGGTGTGTGTGTTGTTATGAGACCGGACGTCATGAGACCGAGACCTTTACCCACCTTTTTCTAGAGAGTGAGATTATGAGGAGAGTGTGGGAGCATTTTGCCACTTGGACTCATATATCCCTACCCACCACAGACAGTTTCTTTGAGCTCCTGAGTTTTTTCTCACAGAGCACACACTTTAGACACGTGGGCTTCCTCATTCCTTGTCTGATCCTTTGGTTCACCTGGACGGAAAGGAATAGTGCGAAGCATAGGGATATTATTTTTTTGCTTTCTCACATTGTTTTGCAGGTACAGAGACATCTTTCACTCCTCACATCATTGGGCAGGCTCACTGCCAGAGACTGGACAGGCTGCACGCCACCACACCGCTACTTGGTAGCTCCCTCTGCGCCAGTTCGGTCTCCTCGACCCAGAGCTGTCGTTTGGCTTCGACCCGACCCACCTTGGGTCAAGCTGAACACTGATGGCTCTTTTGATCGCCAGACCGGAGTTGCCGGATGAGGAGGTTTGATCCGGGACCACAGCGGCGCTCTTATCACCGCCTTCCACACGTCACTTCAGGCCTCCTCGAGCTATGATGCAGAGATTCAGGCTCTACAGATTGGCCTTCATCCGCTGCCCACCTCTCTAGTCACATTTGGATCGAGCTGGACGCTGCGGCGGTCGTCACCATCCTGACCTCGGGCCACCAGGGCTCGTGGCAGATTCAGCACCCGCTTATGCGCATTAGAGCTCTCCTACGGTCT